CCTCGCTTAGAATTATGAAATTATGTTTGAGTTACTTTTTTTTTATATTACCGTAAAAGTCACAATGGTATAGTTTCTACGAAAATATATAAATTTATAAATTGTAGCAAATTATTATGTAATTACTAAACTTTTTTTTTTATAATAATATTTTACTTTCTATTTAATATACATGTTATTTTGTTAAAATTAAAAAGAAAATTATATAAGAATAATTTCAAGTCAACCCAATTTGTGAAAATAATAAATATAATTATATTATTTTCCGTATGTAATATTTGAAACATGTGTTGGATTATTTTGGTAAAAGTTTGAACTTTCAAATGTTTTTAAAATAGGTTGGTAGAATTTGTAGAATAATTGAAATCCATTATTGGTAAAATCAACATTTGTAAAAGATTTCGAATTTATATATTAAATAAAAAACATAATATCAAATACAATATATTCATAACATAAGTACGTCATGGAAGATTCATTGAATATGAACAAATGATATATTTAAACAAATAACTTGAACATAAAAGTAAAAATCCTAGTTATACATATTTTTTGTTTCAGACGCCTAAGAAATTGTCTCCCTTCTTCACCTATAGATACACACAGAGATACATTAAGAATGAAATTGTCTCCTTCCTGTAACATGAAACTATTAAACTTAAATGATAAACTTTACAAGTCCGTAATCACAAATTATATGGATCAAACCTATATGCAAAAAGGAGAAATTTAGTTTTAATACAATGGCAATACATAATGCATACAGTTTTCATACCTCCTAATTTAAACCCAACAAAAAAAAGTAATTAAATCCCATCAAAAACACATAACCCCACCAAATAGAATGATATCATTTTAAACCCAAAAAAAGAGCTCAACCAAAAGTAATTTAAATTACTTTGAACTTGGCTATCAAACACTAATGTTGATGATTAGTTTGAATTTAGTTGTAAAACATTAATACTCAACGCTACTTTGAGAATGAAAGACAAACAAAACCCATTTGAATAAACAAAGAAAAACCTCATTTTACCTTCAGAATAAATAAAAAAACACAAGTTGTATTTGAGTCAAAAACAAGGCTAAACAAGGCTGCATTTGCGAAGTAATTACCAGTTGTATAACTTTAAAGTAGCAATATGTCATTTCAAAGATATATGGACCAAGCAACATGCTACAAAAACCAAATAACATCATTCGTGTTTAGAGAAATGCAATTCCTTTTAGCAAATCCATCTGGTCATAAACTGGTTGTTTCTTTGAGGTTATAACTTAAAAATAGAAAGAACAACATACACATACCGATATTATACCACTTTTAAAACTTCCATTGGTTTTGTTAAACTTTAAATCGTATATTAGCAACCAAAATCATGTTTGGTCATAAAAGATCCATATATTAATTTAAAAAAAAAATGCATAAATAGAAACATGAATGGAAAGAAAATGCATAAATTTAGAAATAACAACATACTCAAAAGTTTAGGTTAGAACTTACAGAAGAATGTGAGATAGAAAACTTGAAGACTTTGTCATACTACTCTGCTACATCAACACACATATACAGTCATATGCACACCAATTCATTGTTTTCTTCAAAATGACCAATATACCCCTCCCTCATTCCCTGCTATGTCCACACTCCCCTGCCACAACCACATACAGATATAGTTAAATGCACATACATCCACATCCACATTTACATGTAATCAAAAACCAAACCATAATCATAAAATCAAGGAAAAAGGTAAACAAAATCAAGAAAAACTTAACTCTGTCTGCTGGTCGTTTCTATTGATTGTTCTCAAGAAAACTCTACATAAAATCAAGAATTGTACCATCAATATCCGATAAAATTGCAACATTTTCTTTTCCAAAAAGTTTGAAGTTAAAGTCAAAAAATCAAGAATGGGGAAAACACAAAATCAAAAAATCAAAACAAAAACAAAATTAGACGTTACAAATGAATGTACCTGGAAAATTAACCACTACATCTGGAAAAACATAAGAGAAGGTTGGCATCGAGAGTGATACACTGGAAGGGGAATGGTAGACCCACCCACTTGCAAAAATACGATTCTTCAAATCAACATAAACAATAATGTAATAATCATAGTCAAAAAAACAAACATAGCCATTTAAATCTTCAGAATTCAAGAAATCTTTAGAATTCAAGAAATATCAGGTAAAACATTGATTAAATCGAACTAAGATTTTATATAATGAGTAAAATCTTATCAAGGCGGAATGTCAATGAGATGAGATCCAATTCCACAGTTAATTAGCTGAAATTAGCAAGCAAGAAGAAATAGTTGCCATTTGAAAATGCACTATTAGCCTTTATTTGAATGTTCCAACAAATCCACACTATAAATCTAAAGAGACCAAATCCCTGATGCAGATCAGGAACAAAGCTTATTAGCTTTTTCTGCCATAAAAATTGTACAAATACATATCTTTGTGTGACCGAGCAATGGAATCCAAAACTGAAACTCGATAATGAAAGGGAAAACGAAAATCAGAGATACAACGAACCTTTGTGAATATTGGTAAATCTAATACCACCAAAATGTAGGAGGAGAAAGGGAGCATCGACTGTGAGCAAAAACAAAACCCAAAAGAAATTCAATGCCTCTTAATTACATAAAAAGAAGAAGAAACATACCTAGTTAGAAAGAATCAAAGTTTCCAAATCAGATATTCGTCATTTCTGGGTCGATAACTTAAGAATCAAGATCTGCAAAAAAAAAAAAAAAAATCAGAATCATTTGTTTCTTGCAGATGAGAGGATGGAGATATGGGGGAAAGGAGCAGTTGATGCTTCATGTTCTTACTGGAAAACCCCAAAATAAAAAACAGGAACATGTTTTTCTTTACATACCCGTCCCAGATATGTTCATGTTGTTGGAATGCAGAAAACGGAAAAAATCAAGATCTGCGAACAATGTTCATGGAGGAAGGAATTAGTAAACAAAATCTTACAAAAGTAAAGATACAAAGAAGTAAATCAGAGCATGGTCGTCGTAAAGGCAAGTAGAAAATGGACATTTGTGTTGTTTATCAATTCATTACT